ATAGGTCAGAAGCAACACTGCTTCACCTCCCAGACTGGCCGTGTTTACCTCCTGCATCTTGGAGTTCTGGGCCCACATACAGGAAGTTCAACTACCCGAGGCTGCCGTGCGGTGAGGAAGCCCAAGCCAGCCCTGCGGAGAGGCTTTGTGGAGTTGTTCGGGCCCCGGCCATCGTACCATCCCAGCGGAGCCCCAGGCCTCACGGAACAGAAATGAACATCCCCTCTGTGCCGCCCTAATTCCTGAACCTGAGGACTGTACATTAGACTAATGAGAAATGACTGTTTTAAGTCTTTGAGGTTGAGGGCAGCTTATCACACAGCAATAGGTCACTGAAACATCATCCTCTAAGGAGTCCCCTCACTACTCAGTTTGAGTGCCACCTGTTCCTTCTGGGGCCCTGACTGACAAAATATGTATGACCGTCATTAAGGCTGACAACTGCCTTCGACACTTCTCTTCTCCTGGGAAGGTGAAACTGCACTTGCCTTTGAGGTTGGGCAGGGCCTGGTGATCGGCTTTGCGTTAGACAATGAAATGTGCATGTGGTCACTTCCAGACAAGGGCTTCGAAACCCGGGGGCCATTCACTACAGTCCCTCCCCTCTAACCTCATGACCAGTGATATCAGATGGCGAAGGTTCTATCGACCTGGGACCCCGAATGAGGATACCACGGAGAAGCTGCTCATTCCACTCCTCAGATGGATAAGCCGTTGGAACAAAGACATAAACATCTGGCACTTCAGCCCCTGAGATGCTGGTATTGTTTGCGCCTGTAGTGTCATCAATAGTGACTGATACAGTAAGTTCTTTTTTCTCAAGCTAATCCTGGCCAACACGGCCCCCTGCAGGAGGAGAGCACTGGAACTCCTAAATATTCTGCACCAAAAAGAGGAAGTCTATAAATTAAGCAAATATACATGTCAATCTTTTTAACATCTACAATCAGGGAAACCACGGAAATCGACCATGTGGGAACGCGGTAGCCATGGGAATGAGCATGCCCCCTAGACCTCCAGCTATGGCGACAGAAGTGACCCAGGGCCCCCGTGGCTACACTGCAACCTCAGGACGCCGGCCACAGGCAGCTCAGAGGCCCGGCTGAGGGCCGCCGGGCAGTTCCGGCAGGCCTGTTGGTGGGGGCATGCGCAGGGGCCTCCTCACAGCAGTCCGGGACACGCCCAGTCAAGCTGACCTTCCGCTGCACGGTGGGGGGGGGCGGCCAGGTCCCCCCGTGCAGCGTGACAACGCCGCAGCCAGCCGTCCCCACCCTGCGTCTGGTTTCTCTCTCACCAGCAGGTCCGCTGGCAAAACCCTCGCACATGTAATCCCATTCTGCATCCGCTCCACTGAGAACTCAGACTAATACAACCACATCGATGAATATTCAGCCTTGAAAATTTAGCTTTGATAAATTAAACATACATAGACAACAGAACTAGCTCATGCTGGATAATTAATGGCTGCTCTGTGAATCTAAAGTCATAAATAACTATTTTTGTACAACGTGATGTCCATGGCTATGGCTAGACCTCATTCCTCAATGACCTATATTAACACGGTATCATTTTCTTTAATGTGACTTTTTACAAAGTGTGATTTTAACCTATCTCCAAAAATCTATCCTTCCCTAAATGACCAAAACAGGCTTCCAATCTCTTATCCAAAATACTACAGACCGTCCATTTTGGAATTCAAACCCTTGTCCTTTAGAAAAACAATATTACATCTGCCATACTTGACACAACCAAGCAGGTCGGGAGCAGACCTCTACAATCCAATACATTAATGTTTCTTCACAAAATATACACGTATTAACACAAGTGAGATAAAAACAGCCTCGAGACAATTCGGGGGGGTTGGGGGTTGCCACCAAAGAGCCCAGCAAAGGTTACGTGGTCCCGCTATACCAATTACTTAAAAAAAATTCAGTTTTCAGAGGTTTTTGAATTTTTGAGTTGCGAATAAGGGATTGTATTTCCACACTACAGAAAGCCTTGCAGCCCTATTTTTTTTTTTTTTTTTTTCCTAAAGCCAAACCAAGCCACACGACAAAAACCCAGACACGCCTTCGGGCTAACGCAGGAGAACAAACGACCACCCGGTGGCTCTGGGTGAAGACAGCCACAGCAGAGCAGCCTGCACAGGCGGTGTGACGTTCAGCCAGCACAGGGCAGGGAGGGGAAAGGTGGAGACACTCTGCGCCTGTCAGGCACCCGCAACTCCTCTCCTCTTACGAGCCACAACCCTTTGTAATGACTTACGGAATGCTGTCAAGATATTGTTTATGAGCATCGACTGTGATGTAGTAAAGTTTCTAAGTATAAATTTATTTATATTATTTATGAGACAGAGAGACTAAATTCACCTCTGCAAACTGCCTACACTGATGGCGCGTAACTAGAATGTTTTGCATAAACTGGGGGCTGAGACAGTGCACAAAGGGAATTTACTGAGGATATTAAATGAGGCTCTTCCGTAGAAGCAAGGGAGCCGCCTGTGAAAACAACAGACAGGAGCCCCCACAGCAGATGTGAGAGTCCCAAGTCTCCCTTCCTACACCAAAGGAGAGGGTACAGGCTATGGGGTGTCACTGTTCCCCCTGGGAACTCCTCAAGAAACACCCAATTCTGGACTCTTTTCCTCCTCTGCTTCTGAGCACCTGTCCTGCCCTTCCGGAAGGCTCTTTTCTTCATCAACCATTCAGACAGCCGAGAGCCAGAGGAGAGGCTGGCTAGCCACCTCCCCCTGCCCCCCTTCCTTCCTACGCCTTTAATTTTAAATGGCAAAAACACAAACAAAATAAAAAGATGAAGAGCAGGAAGAAAAATCAATTAAGGAGGAAATATTCTCCCTAGTCACTCAGTAGCCCTGGGAGAAATGATCCTCGATGAATAAAAGTTAAGGAATCTTAATTAGGGATTGGAAATCTAATCTAGTAATGTTCACTTTGCATTTCAAATACTCAGTATTGACTGTATTTTCTCACAATAAGCATGCATTAAAATAACTCCATGATTTTAAACATCTCACTTTAATTATGGGCATTACTGAGAACAATATTAGTTAATATATATAAAGCACTATTATTATACTCTGTGAACCAATGTCTGAGAATGTACCAAGTGCAATCACTCTGTGTGGCACTTTGACAAACATCATTCCATTTGTATGCTGTTTATTCAACCTCCAATTCTAAGGTACTGTGCTTGGCAGAAGAGATGCCCCAGGAAACAAAACAAGGGTGAACCCTACCCCCAAGAAGCAGGCACACCACTGGGGAGACAGCCATTAAGCAAGCCATTGCACATCTAATGATTTGATTCCCCTAGCGGTGAGAAAGGAGAAGCACAGCGACCCAGCAGATCCTCACAGCAGCTCTCTGAGTTGGGTCACATCCTCAATGATGGATAAAGAGTTATTAACATTTGTTACCTTATGGTGTGCTAATTATAATAACAAAACACACTGAACAAATAATAATTTCATAATTATAGCTATTATGGCAATGACTTGGGGAATTATTTTCTATCAACCGGTCAATGAGGAAAAGGATGGAAAAAAATGTGGAAGGAAGTCTAAATGCATGAGAGCGTATGTGGATAGTTGCACCAAAGGACTCCCCAGCACTGCTGTGTCCCTCCGCAGGGGAAAGTCGCTCCGTGCAGAGACCTGGAGACCTTCACTTCAAACCCGTATCCCAATCTGAGAAGGGCAAGATAGAAACAGAAAGATGACCTGGAGGCAAATTCAAGACGTGTATTTTCCAAAGATATGTTCCATATTTTAAAAGACATTTTTAATTTCAAATACTTGGTCCCTTTGTGCCCATAAACCACTAAACTGGAAGTCTCAATATTTAGATGCTCAAACCACATCTAAGATTACCTCTTGAATGTAGAAGAAACACAAAAATCCTAACCAGAGCAAGCACCCTGTTTGGAAAACATTGTCACTGTGCTCAAAAGCCACTAAGTGGCAAGGCATGAACATCTTCCATCAAGACCTACTGCTCTAAGAGACGAGCATGCAAAAAGGCTGGCTAGAGTTGTAATGATAACCATGGTATCTGTGGTGTGGAATTACCTCGAAGGTAACATCTCCTCAAAACAAAATACTTTGGAAATTTGGGGAAGGGAAAAAAAAGACCTGGTGCTCTCTCGGCTAAAACTCTCATCAGCTTGTGCAGTCAGGCTTCAAAGTTGCCACAATCAGGCAACCTCAGATACTGTGAAATGAGAACCCATGGAAATGGAACTCGGCAGGTGTAGAAAGGTGGGCGTTCCACCAAAAAAGCGTGTGATGAGTAACTCCTTGCTTCTCTCTCAACCCGGGCTGGCAATTTCAATAACTTGACAAAGATCCTCTTGAACTAAATACTGTATATGTCTCCTTACTTAGTGAAAAAAAAAAGGTCTTAAAATTAGAATTCCAGGTCCATAGCTGTCTCCTGACAGCTCACAATGGAAAAGCTATCAGCCAACTTATTACACAGAACGAGAGTGTTGCAGGGGAATCAGAGTGGGTGCTAAGGAGGCAGCCAACCTCTGATGGGACCTTAATTTGGCTTCACTTCAATTTTTTCCTGGCACAAAATTTTTATAATAAAAAATTATGTTCTAAGAGATGGCACATCCAAGGGACTTGTGCTACCAGCACCCCTCTCCGCATCCCCAGGAAACCTTGCGCCCTCTATGACAGACTTGGCCTCGAGTGCCAAGTAGCCACTACCCATGAAGCACGTAAGCACAAGGGTCCATCTGTTTGCCAGTCCTGGCTTAGACTATCTTCCTTGACATTCAAAATGCCGTGTTCTATGACACCAAATGGATCCCATCAGGCTTTCGGTGTTGCCACTGTTAAGACCTGTGTTTGACACGGAACACGGATATAACAAGAGATAAAACTGAAGTCACCATCAAGTCAATTACACCACATTTGCCTTCTTCAGTTTCCATCAGTTGTACCACAGACAAAGGTTAATCAGCCAATCACTGACCTTATGGAGTGCAGGAGCCAAGACTGGTACCAAGAACCCATTGTAAATATAACTTACAAGCTGATTACGAATCAAGGGATGAGCCACCTAAGAGAGAAATAAGTAGTTATGAAAAATACAAAGAATTCACATTTTAGGTCTTCTTAAAAATCAAACATTTCTGTGTATACTCTGGATTCAAAAAAGAAATACAAATTTTGGCCATTTATTTCACGGTAAAAAAATAATTCAGATTTTAAGCCACCATGGAATTTTTTTCAGATGGTTTATTCCAGTATAAATAGCTTGGACATTCTAATTTTTTAAAAGTGGTAATTTTAAGTTTCTACTTTAAAAAATAGACAATAAATAGACTGAGATGCACAAGGAGTCATAACATAAAATTCACAAGCTGGAAAGTATAATTTTTACCCCATAATTTCATCTATGTCTCATCTCAAATTGTTACTAATTTAAAAAAGAAACTGTCAAAATGGACAATTAAATACATTTTGTTCACAGAAAAACTTTCTCATTTTGAAGGTACATTTTCTGCTCCTCATTTAATTGTGGAGGAAGGCATTTAGGAAACCTTTTCATAAAAAATAGATCTGATTCAAAAGCAGAAAAGATTATCAGAGGTACAAGACTTCCTATATTTGATTTACAAAATATATTTAGCATGGATAACCTTTCCTAATATCTTTTATATGTAATCTTTTCAATTGTACAACCACACAAAAAATGTCTTAAAAGTACCATATTTTGCTGTCTATAATGCGCACCCACATTTCTGTGCGCATTACACAGCATTATTACACCAATTATTATGCGGGTGGTATGTAATCACTATACCCATGTATAATGTGCTTCTTTATTTTTCCCTCAAAATTTTGGACAACAAAATGCACATTATACACAGCAAAATATGGTATATGGCCTCAATTTCAAAATATAGTATGAAATATATCACTTTTCTGTTCTTAACCATGCCTGCTAGCTTTACTTTTCTTTGTTAAAAAAATAATAAAGTCAAATAAAATAAAAAGCAATTTCTAGGAAAGTGGGGCTATATCTTTAAATTACTAATAATCTCTGTGTGTGTGTACATTTGGAGAGAAACTAATAGCTCTATCTCTTTTATTTCCACACAATTCTTCAGGAAAATGTTGATAGACTGTAATATTAAAGAAGAAAATAACTTAAGATGTAATCCACTTATATATAAACAAAACTTCCTTTGACTTAGCAATAAAAATGAGATGGGAACCAAAGCAATTTACTTGCATTTTCTTCCAGAAGCTATTTCTTTATTTGGTAGATAAACAGATTATCACTAACATTTTTCACCTTACAATCACCATAAAGAAAATTTGATATCTTAATAAATCCAATATTAAGGTGATGTTTAAGCTGTACAGAAATAAAACATTGTTTGACAAATATTTACTACATCCTTAAATGTATATAAAATCTGATTTTCATTGAAAACAATAACAAGAAATCTGAAAGTAAAAATCCAATCAAGAAGCCAAATATAGTAGAGTTCAGTGGTGTTTTTCCCCCCGAAGCAGGCCAATTTCAAAGCAAATTTAATTTGTGTTGCTAAGAAAATGCTTAAGTTCTTCTAAATTCAATTGGGATAACAATATTCTTTATGTAGTATGCGCCATTAAGCAAAATAAAGTGTTTTCCTTTGTAGACTCCCAAAAAGACCTTGAAATAAAAGTGGTATAATTTGAAGTGCTTAAAAGCCTAAAAATATCTATTTAATGAGGCAGGCATTGAACTTATTTTTTGATGGTTAAGTGGATAATCAAAACAGAATTATCATTTTTATAAGGAAGATAAAGAAAATCTACTTATCTTTTCTCAATTAAAACTTCCCAGAAACCCATACACTAGCACTTTTACTCATTCAAGGATACTCAGTGTGCTTCATGTAAAGCATCAATAGTCCACAAACATTAAAATAAAAAAGGGACTGTTTCTAACTGCTCCGTGGCCAGGCCTGTGCTCAGAGCGGACCAGTACAAAGGCCCCGCGCCGCTCAGTACCTGTATGACGGCATTGCAGAACTCCAGGGAGTTCATGAACTGCACGAGGGAAGGCAGCAGGAGCCAGTCATCTCTGAGAAGGCAGTGCCACTCTTCGCCTTTCTCTTCCAGCTTGGTAGGCAGGGAAGAGTAGAGTCCACTGAGCCCAGTTGCAAGCACCTGTGTTCAGAAACAAAATTGTCCTCAGCTCTCTTCCAAAGTCTCACCCTGCAACCCAACAGCCCCCAGGGAGGCCCATGCCGCTGGTCCCAAGACTGCCCTGGAAGCATTGAAGTGTTAAAGTATGAGAGGGTGTTTGGCCAGATAGGAGGGATTCGACAGGTGGAGACAGACAAGAGGGAAGAGCAGCACCCAGGTATTGGGTTAACATGTACACCAATGATATAGGTTGCTTATCTCTTATGTACCAGGCATATGCTGGTCTAGGGGTAGGGAGAGTGAGGCAATCACAGGCAAAGGTGAAGAAAACATGATGCCTCCCCTCAATATGTTCCAGAGAGGAGCAAACTCAAACACAATGCATTACAGCACACGGCACTGAGTGTAAATACAGAGAAGGCACACACCGCAGTCTGTGGGAGGAAGCCCCGGGCTACGGCGGTCATTCCAGGACAGAAAGTCTCACAGTACGAACCTTGAGTGGCTTTATGAAAAACATTCCTGCACCCTGACTGGTGTGGCTCAGTGCATTGAGGGCCAGCCTACGAACCAAAAGGTTGCAGGTTCAATTCCCAGTCAGGGCACATGCCTGGGTTGCAGGCCAGCTCCCCAGTTGGGGGCATGCAAGAGGCAACCAGTCAATGTATCTCTTGCACATCGATGTTTCCCTCACTTTCTCCTCTCCTTCCTCCCCCTGTCTCTAAAAATAAATAAATAAAATCTTCAAAAAGAAAGATTCCTGCAAACATGTTATAGGCCATGACTGACACATACATATTTATAGTTCAAAGAGCACTTTAATCTGATCTTCACGAAAGATATAGTGAAAGCAAAGAACTGGGGGTCATGGGGCAGTTGGCGTGTGAGTTAGGTGTGACAGCAATAGTTCAAACAGAGCTACAGTGAGTCTAAGCTAAAGAAGCATCAGCAGTAGGGAAAGGGAAGAGGAAATAAACTTGAGGTTCACGTGTAAGTGGATGTGAGGGTGAGCTAGCTATGACATCTACCGATCCAGTATTAATCCAAAGCTCTGTTTTAGGGTTTACTTCCCCCTTCGGTGTTCTGTTCCCAAAATGACAGCATTTGGGCTTCAAAAGTGAGGGTGAGCGGGAACTCAAAACTATGAAGTTATCCAGCTTGGTCATTAAGAACATGGCGACGCCTTTGACAGAGGCAGAAATGTGGGGATGGAACCACCTGTGCTGCATGCCTGTTGATTTTCTTGGGGAGCGTGAGACCGAGGGAAACTATGAACGTCGCAGTTGGGAAGCCGTCCAGCTGGGAAGCAGTGCTAGCCAAACAGCACCTCAGAGATCCCGACCTGCCAGGTGTGCTAAGGGCGGGCAGGGCCAGCGCAGAACAGAGGCAAGGAAGTTCTCTATGAAAGGCGTTCCTTTAGGGTAAACCCTGAGGTTCTGGGGAACTCCAGTGGACTGGAGACATTCAAGAAAACACTCAATCCTAACTTAGGCCCAGAAAAGAAACAGCAAAGTATCCATTGATCTCAGCATCTCATAAGAGGTGAAAAGGCAATTAGAGTAGTATAATAAATGTTCAGAATACATAATAGAAAACATATGATGCTGTGAATATACAAAGGCCCTTAATCCAGACTTGGGGTGGGAGGGAGCAGGAAACGTTCTCAGAAGAAGTAATGCCCAAGCTGCTACAGAACAAACAGTAGATAGCCAGAAAAGGAATGTCCAAAGGAAGAATATTCTAAGCAGAGGGTGTACAAAAGCTCAAAGGAAAAGGAAAAGAGGGTATCTTAGAGGAACTAAGAGAAGTGCAGTGTGACTGGAGTATAGAATTAGAGGTGTTAACAGCCCCGCAAGGTAAGCAGGAGTCAGGTCCTGCGGGGTTTCCAGGCCAGGATGAAAAGAGCTTGTGGGACATCCCACTAGAGAGCCGAGCAGGCAGCTGTGTGGGGCTGATGCTTAGGAGAGGGGCCTGGACTGGGGGTGGAGACCTGGAACCGTCCGCATGCAAACGGTACCTTAGGCCCTACAAGACCAGAGGGAGAAGGAAAGGGAGGTTTCGGCCAATGAGATATGAAAAAATAACCCATAGTGCCTGGCATCAGAAACAGAGTCAGAAGGAAGTGTGGGTCCAAGTATGTTGAACTTGGAAAAAATATCCACAAACTCATTGCTGCCTCTCCCTTCCCCGTGCCCTGTTCCCACAGCACCCTCTGGGTCCCTTTGTGTAGCAGCTGTCATTCTGGCATTTACTCGCTCATCAGCTGTCTTCCCCATCTCATCTGGCCTCGCTTGTTCAGGCCGGTCCACACTGGGGGTGCGTGATGTGTGCAGGCAGGTATGTGGAGTGTCGGAGGCTAGCAGTGCTTACCGTGAGTCACACATCAAGCTCAGCAGCAGCACGCAGGCCTGGCCTGAGAAATGGGAGCCCGTGGGTGGCACAGAGAAACCAGATGACACCACGGGAATGAGGGGGTGGGGTCGCGTGAAGCAGGAGCCCACGGTGGAGTAGGAAGGGCAGCAAGAGAAACAGAGGGACCATTTCAGTATGTGAGGAACCAAAAGATTATATCTGTTTCTCTGTCCTGTTTCCTAGTGACCTTTACTCACTCATTCATTCACTCGCTCATTAAAAAGGAATTACTGAGCACCTTCAGGCCCGGTACTAGGGTAAGTACAGGGACTACAACAGCAAACAAGACAGTGCATTTATCACTTTTTCAAAATCGAAGCATCTGTGGTCCCAAAAGAGAATGTCCCCTATTTAAAGTACTTAACTCCTTGTCAACATGCCCAAACAAATCACTTTAATTCCAGTTTAAAATGTGACCCAAGTGGGTTGCATGTAAAAAATTTAAAACCTTCGCCAAGAGAGAACAGAGACCAAAAGTTCTCCTTGAAGGGAAATCTAACCTCGATGCCACATTTCAAAAATCAATTACATTTGCTAACTCATGCTAAATTAACCACAGGACAAAAGGCTTTAATTCTGCATACTCGATTCTTTAACCACTTTGAGGCTTTGAAGATGAATTCATAAAGACAGGCCTAATTTGTCTGACTAAAAAGCTGGGAATAACTATTTAGTATATCAATATAATTACAGCAACATTAATCTCCAAATTACATACATCAGTGACAGTAATTAAAAATAACACATACCTAATATTCACTTTTTAAAAAGCATATTCTTAAAAAGGCACGGCTAAGACGCAAACAGAAGCCCGCCTGCGCAGGACCGTGCCTGCCGCGCTCCAGCCACTCTGAGTGGGGCTAGAGAATGTCTCTGCTATGTTCTCCAGCCAAAGAAACACGGAAGGAAATATTCTGCAGGATAAAGAGTATTACACAGTCTTAAGACCAAAGTTTCGAATCTTTACTGCTCCATGTTTATATTCCCCTTCCTAAGACTTCGCTCAGAGTTCAGATGCAGTCACCCAATCCACATGTATTTCTAGAACAATGACTATGGGCCAGGTGCTGGAGAAAGAGAAGTGAACAAGTCAGACCAGGCGAGATGGAGGGGACAGACGATAAACTAATAAATGCAAGAAAGACGACTGATACACATAGGGATGCAGCGGGTACTGCGGGCGCGGCACACGGGGAAAGGAGAGGCAGCAACAGGTTTGCAGGTGATTTTTCCAAGAGTTTCATGGCGCAGTCTATTTGCTTTTTAATTTCATTTTCAACTTAATTTAAAATATGTGGACATTCAACAGCTAATTAAAAAACAAAACGCCCATCCACTATTTCAGCCTTTCATTGACCCTGACCACACGAAAGTAATTATAAAACATATTTATTCCTAACACATTAAGTATTGACCCAATATTTTTAATCTATTTGCTCTCAAGAGTCTTCTTAAAAGAAACGAGTCGCCATCTAGAACTATAAGGATAACGACAGATCATTTCAAAAGCAACCACTTCCCTGAAAGCAGCAGACCGCAGTTGGTGCTGAGACCATGCATTTCAGTACCAGACTAATGCAGTCGGAGAACCCGACTCTGCCATTGCCAGGCAGCGATGGGGTCCTCTAGGATTCAGCTTCGTTCCTGAGCTGCTGCAAGGATTAACACAAGTAATGCGTGCAAAAAGGTGACCATCACTGGTTTACACGTTGCAATGTGTAAAATGGAGGGAAGAAGAAGGTCACATGCACAGAGCACAAAACAAGTCAGGGAAGGTCCATCTTTAACGTGAAGCCCCTGAAAGTGCCCAGTTAATTTTAGCAAAAACAAAAGGATTTTTAGCAGATGGCTTCAGTCTGAAGCGAGCAGCAGAACACCTGGTGGGGACCATTTGATACACCTTGCCAACATAAAAAGCCTCATAAATTTTAGATATGGGATAAATAATGTTCTACCTGAGGCTGTGTACCTAAAGGTTGCTTATTTCAATTTGCATTTCCAAATTTATGTATAGGCTACTTTCTACCTTTGCCAATATGGAACAAGTGACAAGGGCTTAATCATCAATATTTGGTTTTAAAAAATCAAAAGAAGACAAGGTCAAAGATTCCCCAGTCATTTATTTGCTGGCACCGAATTGTTCCCTAGTGTATCCTCATTCTCCTTCTTTTCCTGGAAAAGAACATCTTGACGTGAGAGGCAGTGGAACCAGAGAGCTCTTCCTATAACTACAGCAGAAGTTTCCAAAAGTGGTCTAGTTTCCTGAAAGAGTCATTACTCTTCCCCACGCCTGACGCTAACACACTTTGACAATCACACTAATTAGAGAAAGCTTTTTGTCATTTGCGATCCTTAGCCGGATGGTTAATAGAGTATGCTTTTATATTCAACACAAAGAGGCCCCCATTTTAAATTATGTTGTCAGATGTAATTATAGAAAACTGGGTACAAATGAGATTACGGGATCCATCCTGAGGGGGCAACTTAACACAACAGACCTGTGTGTTCCACTCCAGAAAATAAGGTCAGCTGTGGCTGTTCTTTCTCTTCCAATTTTTATTAACTGCACCGTGTTTGAAAAGACTTTTTTATAAACGCAACAGTTACTCAGTAAAATCTGCTGTCAACGTAAGCAGCCCTAATAAATTTAAATGTTTAAGTGTGAAATATTACAAACACATAAAACATCCCAAGATTTAAAGGATTTTAACACTTGCCCATAATTTCTTTAGGGCACTCTTTATTTTTGTTAAAAAATAAAACATAACAAATAGAAATAAACCCTACTCTTCTCTTCTCCTTCCTTCACCCCAAAAAGCAATCACAGTCTTGAAGTTAGTACATGTTATTTATATACTCATTTTTGTGCTTTTGCTGTATTCATATATATCAAAAAACGGCATACACTCAGATTCTGTCTTTATGTAAATTTTAGGTAAATACCAACATACTATGTAACCTTTTGTTACTCCTTTCACTCAACATGTTTTTAGATTTACAGGTATTCACACTTGCATAGTTACATGTGATTCATTCATTTTGAATGCTGAGTAGTATTCCATTGATGTAGAGCAAACCAGTTTATTTACCTTTCCCTTAATATATTTCTATTTTTCTCTTCTCAAATCAGTACTCTATTGAATATCTTTGTGCGTGTATCCTCGCTAACATGCCAGACTGCTCTAGGGCAGGTACCTTGAAGATGCACAATTGCATGGCACACAAATATTCAATGTTATTAAATGTTTCCTGATTTATTGTACCAGCTTATATTCTCAAGAGCTCCTGTTTTCCACACCCCTGACAATACTTGGTGTTGCCAGAGGCCTAACAGTTAGCCACTCTGACAAGCATTACCTGGTGTCTCTATGTGGGATGATTTGAATCTCCAGTGTTAAGGAAGAGGAGTATATCTTCATGTATTGGCTTTGGGTGCCTTTTGGGAATTGTCTGTTCACATCCTTTGCCCATTTTTCTAATGCATTATTTCATCACTTTCTTATTAATTTGTAGCATTATAAACATTTTTGTATATTTTGGGTACCAATCACTTGTAGTTATGTGTGTTGCAAGCATCTTCTCCCAATCTGTGTTTTTTGTTCTTAATTCTAGTCTTTTCTTTATGGTTGGTGTTTTATAGTAAGTCTTGATATTTTATTACTTATGTACAAGGTAGTGGTTAAGCACATGGGTCCTTGAGTCAGACTGCCCAGGTTCAAATCCTGACACTATCTCTCACTAGCCATTCTTCACAGGTTCAAGGAGTAGTATGCAGACAGTTGGGGGGTGCGGGGAGCATTATTCTGCACACCACAGTCGCTATATTCAGTTTGGAAAATTTCCCTTGAAGAAACTTAAGCAATAAAACAGCAAAATCAGAATTCTCTTAGGAGTTTAATTTGACAATATAAGATGGTGAGTTTGGTAGATGCTTAGGAAGTGGGGAAACACATTACGGTCTAGAAACAAGAGTGGTAGGAATGAGAATGAAAAGGAGGAGCTGCATATGAGCAACATTGTGAGAGGAGAAGCTTATTAAAGGATACACATTTTTTTCGGAGGGCACAAAGGAAGGGAAACTTAACATGCTGGCACAGATTAATGGAATCGGTTCTTCACTTTCCATCTGACTATCAATCTTTGTACAATTTCTTATTCCATTGGTCACAACCCAGAAGGGAAGAGCTACTTGGTACCCTGAATTTCTTCACTGAAATTCTATTTTTCAAAAAATTTTATTTGTTTGCCCTGAAATAACTATTCACCAGATGCTAGGTGACCCTGGATTCTTAGTAAAAATAAGAATTTAGTAATATAAAGAAGATTACCGCTTTTGAACCGCAGAGTAAAACACACTGTGCTACTCACTAGGATTGCTATTAGCATTTTGAGCAGGTCAGTTCTTTACTGGGCAAGACTATTCATACAAACCACCGGACACTGAGCATCCTTGGCCCGCTCACACTACATGGCAGCTGACCCTCCTCCCCAGCCACCCCATATCCCTATCACAACCAAACACACCCCTCACGCCTCTCTAAATGCCCTCTAAATGCCCTCACCCTGGTCAAAAACGACCCATATAATGTTAATTAACAATGAATCTAATCTACTTATGTCAGCTTGCCTAGCCTGTTCCAAAAAATTTACTAATGGTATTGTATACTATTCCAGCAGAATCAGGCGTATTGAAGGCAATATAGTTTATAAATAAATATAAGGATGCAACTGTGAAAAGAAACAGACAATGGAAATAAACAGGAAATGCTCACTGAGTTGGGGAAATAAAAATAGCTGTTGCCCAACATAACTGACAAACGAAAAGAAGACATAAATCTGTTATCTAGATCCCCTTCCGAAGACAAGGCTAACACAAGAATAATAATAAGAGCCCTAAGGTATCTTGAGAGCCCCAAATAGCTACCATTATTTTCTGGAACTGTGGCAGGACCTGGACCACTCCAGCGTCTGCAAAGGAGCTTACGCTTTCTTTCTCACCATACCAGTGATTAAGAACCTACACAGAATAGAGAAGTTCTTGCTACCTCAAATTATAAATATGTATTTTTTTAAAATAAAATCCATGCTTTGTATCTACAAGTATGGTCATTATCTTACTGAGAAACAAATTAATTTGTGAAACCAGCTGTGAGAGGGCTCACCACATGCTCTGATCTGTTGGGGCAAAATAAACCTGGAAGCTGAAAATATAGAAAATGCAGGTCTTACTAATTGCTCAGGACATGCTCTTAGGAAAAACTAAAACAGCTGCAAACCCAACAGAAATGAACCAAGACCTGATAACACATATAGTTGCCTCTGTTGGTTTATCTTGAGCTGACACTGCTCAGCCAAATAGCCTCTCAGCTTAGGATTGCACTGGTCCCTCCAAAAGATTTCCTGTAAATATCTTTCCATAGACAGTGCCAAGTACCACTTTCTGAAAAGGAATATTAATTCATTACTAGCACAAGACAGGAAAAGAGGAGTGGATGAAAAACATGGCAATAAGGGGACTTACTGGACAAAAGTAGGTGTTCTCTACGATGTGATGGGCCACCATACTGTTCTCGGCAGAGAGAGACATGATGAAAAGCAAAGCATCCCGGGCCTGCTGACCCACTGTCCCCTCTCGGTGAATGAAAGGAATCAGAAGGGAGAAGATGAGGAAGTTGGCCGCCCCTTGGTCCTCGCTCGTGTGGAAGAAGAGTTCCAGAATGGATGGATCTTTGGCAAGGATGCAACACAGCTGATTGAGCAGGACAACCAGCTTCTCTTCCACGACGGGGGTGGCTGTCCCTGAACAAGAGCTCAGCAACATCATCAGGGGCTTCAGAATGGGCTTGTGGTGGAGCAGTGGCTGGTGTGACTGGGTGACCAGCATCTCATACATCTTGAGCTGCTCGATTTTAGTGTCATCAGTAAATTCCCGTCTCAAGCTCCAGAGGAAGAGTTTCTCCATAATGTTCTCAGAGACCACAAATTCCAGAATTGGCCCCATTGCAGCATCCTTGGCTTGTTCTTCAATCAGCAGGAAGAGCATGTGTTCTACATAATTCTGCACAGCACTGGCCTCATCTGGGGGGATGGATCCATATTTTGCCTGGGAGTTCTTCAAGGGGTCGTGCTTCTCTAAGATCTTTACAACCTGCAACCCAACCAAACATCTGTCATCCAACTGATGTGTATCACAACAACAAAAACACACTACCACTGATTGTACCAAAGCTTCTCAGGAGACACAGGGGCCATGGCCCACAACAAGATACGTGTGAACTTTGTGTTCATCTCTCCCATAAGAACAAAATGAAGGGGTTCGACTATAGAAAGAAGATGTTTGAAGATGTTCATTTATAATAGTTATAAATTTTGGCAACCTGTCAAAGAAAGTAGTATGGTTATGTCAATTAAGCTACATGTGTTTATTGGTCTATTTTCATGAAGACTACTGAGGAAAACAAAAACTAGTAAATGATATGTTAGATGAAACAATAAGTTACTTTATATAGTTAGATCCATCATTGTCAACGATGTCGAAAACATGTGAAAAAAGACTGAAAGAAATATAAAAAACAATAACTGTTTTTGTATGCAAAGTGATGTTCTTAATTTTTTTAAACTGTTGAGAATATTGCTCTTTAAATTTAAAATACATTAAATAAGTAAGACTGTCCATGTTCTCCTATAAATAGAGTTGATTTGGGGATTTCAAAAGAGGAATATAGCTCCTCACGTGCCCCTGACAGCACATTACCCGCCCCTCCTCTACTCGGACGGGCGCCCTTTCCAACCAGGCAAGCAGCATTAGGAAGGGTGAAAGGACGCTGGTGAACAAAAGACACACGCCTGGCAGAATCAACCCTGACATACGACAGGTATCTGCATTTCTTCAAGCCAGAAAAAGTCTGAAATAACCAATTACGAAATAAATTCCTAATGTACAGAATTCCTGTTTGGGATAATGAAAGAGTATTGGAAATAGCGGTGATGGTTGCACAACATTGTGAATGTGGTCAATGCCATTGAATTACACACTTAAAAAGACCAAGATGGCAAACTCTGTTTCTATTTATTTATTTTTATCCTCACCCAAGGAAATTTTTTCATTGCTTTCAGAGAGAGAGAGAGAGAAGTGGCGGGGTGGGGGGGAGACAGAGAGAAAGACAGAGCGAAACATTCATATGAAAAAGAAACATCAATCAGTTGCCCTCTCATACTCCTCAACCTGGGATTGAACCTGCAACCTGGGCATGTGCCCTGACCAAGAACCGAACCTGTGACCCTTCGGTCTATGGGATGATGCTCCAACCAGCTAAGACACATCAGCCAGGACTCATTATATATATATTTTACCACCAAAAAGAAAAAGTCACCTGACAGTAAAAAAATAAATAAAGCCCTGAATAGGTCACACGACAGTCTGAGTGTTTCTCTCCCTTACCACTGCTGGCCCAGGAGTGCTTCCCACCTCTCTCTGCCCATCAATACTGACATCTACTTCGGGACCTGGAAGTTAAAACACTTTTTTAGTCTCAGCTTCCATGTAACTTTATGACTTGGGATTTCTATGGTAATATGCATTCATTCCTTTGAAATGCATATACACAGTAATTTTTAAACAATCAGAGACTGATGGCTTAATCGCAATTCCTTTTTGCCTGTCTCAGCTGCATGCTGTATGAAATATGTTGTGTTCTGCAGTACCCTCCTGGCCCAGTTCTATAACGTGCTGCTACATGTTCTGCATTTAGGTTACAGAATTTTTGCAAGTCACTGGGGAAGCTGGCAAACGTACAATGCTCTGTCAGCAAGAATGAGAGCAATGACAGAATTTTACTTCTCAGGGAAAGGTCTAAGTTCTTCCCCTGTCAGAAGCAGGGCAAAGGAACCTGTATAACCCAGGCAAGTTATATCCTTATAGAGTGAACAGAATGCACAGAATCTGTCATCTCTATCAGCTTCCACTAAAAAATTAATACTCCTGTCACAAAGGGAAAAAAATCACCCCAGCACCCCTGAACTGACATTTTCAATGAGGAAGGCCTTCAGTTAGCTGCTGCCCGCGAGGTACTTGGCTCCATGACTGTGGCCCCATGACTGTGGCCCCAGCGCGCCCACTGGACATGCCTTCTCCTTCTGACTGAGGGTCCCGCCCTTCCCAAGAAGCCGCCCACAATTCCCCAAAGACTGACAACGCCACTGGCAGAAATGCTGGGACCCGACCTTCCACGTTTCCCTTTGCTCCGGCCTTAGTGACGCCTCACAGAGGTCACAGTACCACACTTGTCCAAAAGGGGGCTCCACCTCAACACAGCATCGTTTGCAGCCCCAAAGCCCTAACTTTTTTTAAAAGGCTCCACATTCTGAAGAACGAAATTAGCTACATGCTGTATCAATTCTATAATTTCAACCTCCACGTATTAAATTTCTTTAGGAGAGTCATCTATACAGTTAGGCCCTGGGGTAGAAATGTAATTATACTTGTCATGTGTGCTCAGGCTAAGCTGTCTAAACTCGGGACAGTTCTTCATATATCAATAGTGGCACAGCAAATTAGCTCAATCTTTCTGGAAAAAAATCTGGAAATTTGTAGAGAAGCTACAAAATTGTTCCTGCCCTTGGACTTGTTAATCTCACTTTGGGGAAAAGGCCTAAAGGAAACAACCCCAAAATAATTTGTTAAAAAATGTTCACACCAGTGATATTTTTAATGATGAAAAAAAATATTATTGGCCCAAATGGTTAAAAATAAGAGAATTATAATCAAAATGTTACATCACCATACAATAAAGCTATTAAAGATAAGTTCTAAGTGACTTATATTAATTACCTACTAATGTACACATGAAATAATTTAAGTTGAAAACTAAATATTTGACAAAGATGTGATTATAAGTGTCAAGTTAATTACTTCTTCTTTCCTGTAAATTGATCTAATTTCATAATATAAATAAAAAGTAGATAAAGTATTGAATAATTTTTTACTAATGTCTTTTAAAAAGGACCAAAACACTGAGTTAAAGACAATTAATAACTGAAAATCTCATCCTCAGAAATTCCTAAGCAACATATATTTATGCATATGTATTTATACTATCTGCAATGCATGTAAATATTTATTATATATCTAAATGTACATATGTACTACACACCAAAACTATATACATGATCAGAAGTTATATTTTTCTCATGAATTAATCTTCACTTAAATTATTTATTCCAATGCATTTCTTTGCAAACAAATTCTACTTTTTTTTGCTGTGAAAAACCTAAAAAAGAGAACTGAGATTTTTCTATAGAATGTAAACTATTTAGCAGCTTTTAAGCCAAAGCATCTTTTAAAAAAAAATTTTGTTGTTATTCTATTATAGTTGTCCCAATTTTCCCCCCTTGGCCCCCCTCTGCCCTGCCCACCCCCCGCTCCCACAGTCAGTCCCCACACTGCTGTCCGCGTCCATGGGTCAGTCCTACGTGTTCTTTAACTAGCCCCTTCCCCTTCTTTCCACCGTTATCCCCCTCCCCCACCCCTCTGGTCGTGGTAAGTCAAAGCATCTTTATAGTAGCTCCTCTACACTGCCCTCGGGGTTAATGAGCTAGGAAACATGAGAACAGAGCTATAAAAACCCATGAAGTTACAAGGTTGTTGATCATCTGGAATAGAGCAGACCCACTCAAAGCCCTCTCTTCATCCCCGGCCCTGGCTGGGGCAGCTCAGCTGCCTGGAATTCTGATGGGTGTGTTGCAACAAGGCCCGTGAGTCAGGGAGCACACAAAGCTCAGCAAAGTGCTGATTATGCCTGTCTTGCCACACTTCCTTAACCTCTCTCCTTAGGTGTCAGGCCCCTCCCAGGCCACCTCCCTTTCCCTTCCAGGCAGACAGGCCCATGGCCTGCTTTTAGGAGTGGGTTCTGGGGGAGCCTGGCTCCTATCCTAACTGGGAATGCCTTCCAAGCTTCTTGGCTAGAGCACAACTTGCACTGAAATGCCAAAGAACTTCTGTTCTCATGTTCCAAGTCTGCTGCCCAGACGGTGCCATAGCTCTTTCCATTCCTGTAGGCTGATTCCTGATGGGATTGGGAATTTTCCTTACTTTTTCCTTTAATGCCCACCAAACTCCACTATTCCTGCGTCCCTGATTTTTGCTTGCTGCCTAGTTTTGCCTGTTGATTGACTCCGACCTTCCAGTCCTATGGATCCATGACCCCGTACTGCTCACAGGAGCATCCCCAGCGTTGTCCATTCTCTGATTATATGCTCTCTCTTCTACTCTCAACCTTGCCTCAGATTTCCCAGGCCCAGCTTCTTCTCAACTACGTATACTTTTGGTCTCAGGGATTCAATTCAGGGAGAAAAAGACACAATTAAGGGGGCTGAAAGGATCCAAGAAGGGAAGAGAGTTTTAAAAGCAAGCAAAATACACTTTGCAAGTATTTCCTTTACTAAACAAGTTCACATCATTAGGCTGCAAATATCATGTAAGAAACCAATCAAGCCCTGATAAAGCCTGTGGTCATTAAGTGAGTAAGCCAACTGAGATCAGAAATTATACTTACTATCAGTAAATATTTTGCTGGTCACAACCAGGCATTTTGTTGATCTACACACTTTAACAAATGCTAGCTGGTATATATGTATGTGAATCATGAGCCCAGATCACATATAGATTCACATGCAAATTATTACAATTCTTAAAAAAAAAACAATAAACAAAAAATCCATAGTGTGAACAATGGTATACAAATTATCATCTAACCAATCTAGCTAAATCTTAACCTATTTCAAGTCATTTGACCTTATACATAAGGATTAGTGGGGTTAAATAGATGGAACAAATAGCACATTTCTTTCACTAAGGAACATCAGCTACTCCTATCCTCAGCTGTAATAATGATCCCATCAGTCAATGAAAATGGGCCTGAATTTCAAATATTTACAAATTCTAAATAGAAAACTCAAATGCTTTCAGAACTGAAAGATCTACATAAATCACATAATCATACCTCAAGCTAACAAATGATAATTCTTCATAAGAAACACAAATGTTTCTCAGGAGATTAGCTTTGACTCCATTTAACATTGTTCTATGATTGTTCGTGTGTGTGTATATGTGTGTGCGTGTGTGTGTGTGTATACAATAGATGATTATTT